GCGTCACAGTCGGTGATTCCGCGCCTCTTGCATCAGTCATGGAAGTCAGCGGATGACATTCCCGAGGTCTTTGTGCCTTGGATGCGTTCGTGGGTACAGCACCACCCCACATGGAGATACCCTCGGCGAGGTCGTTGGCGCTGCAGTGGACCGTGGTCGTGGCCTTGATGGCGTTCCAGGGCGAGTGGGCGTTGACACCGCGGTCGACAGAGACGCCGTCGGTGACCTTGACGTGGGTCCAGGTGGTGGTCTTGTCGGAGCCGTCGTCTTTGGCAAGGATGTCAAAGATGCTTTGGTCGGCGAGGTCGAGGTAGTGGTTGGTCTGGGACTTGTTCGAGGCCGAGTAGCGCGGCGCGACAGTCTGGATGTGAAGCATGTCAGATGTGGTGTGGAGCTTGTCCGGGCGATGGACGATTGAGAAATGAGCGCTGAAAAGGCTTCTGCGACGCTCGAGGCGAATTCCCGCGCGATCTTCGGTCCGATGTCGTTTACGGTGTGTTGGGTGTTGCGTGAACCGGCGGTGGGATATTGCGATACGTGTGAAATGAATTTCCCACATGAGAGCCAGTGACGTCGGCAATCGTGGGGTGCATAGCACCGCGTCGATCGACGGTATGTGCTTCCGATGAAGCCAAAGCGCTTGATCCCTTGCTTCTGAAAGGGTCCTGCCTGTAGTACCTCACTCATGTCGTTGCAAAATGTACCATAAAGAACCGCACTCTGCTGAAGAATGCGTGCATCAACTTTTTGTGTGCGATAAACAGGCGCAGGCTGTGCCACGTCATCGAAATACAAAACGGAGCTGTTTACGGTCATGTCGCAGTTGCGCCATCCATACAAACACCAAGGTATTTCTCGGGCGTGTGAGTGAGAAGACACTTCTTTGAAGATGAATCTAATTCGACATTGACGTTCACGGCCTGCGTGATCCACCTCAGTCCAGCGTCGCAGAAGCCTTTTCAGCGCTCATTTCTCAATCGTCCATCGCCCGGACAAGCTCCACACCACATCTGACATGCT